ATAGAATCCTTAAGGTTGGAAGGGACCTCTAGAGATCATCTAGTCCAACTCCCCTGCACACGCAGGGACACCTAAAGCACGTGGCACAGGACTGCATCCAAGCGGGTTTTGAAGATCTCCAGAGAAGGAGACTCCACAACCTCTCTGGGCAGCCTGTTCCAGTGCTCTGTCACCCTCACTGTTAAGAAATTTTTCCTTAAGTTCCTATGGAATTTTTGATGTTTCAGTTTCCGGCCATTTCCTCTAGTCCGATCAGTGGCCACCACTGAAAAGAGACCAGCACCGTCCTCTGCACTCCCTCCCTTGAGGTACTTATAGACACTGATTAGATCCCCTCTCAGCCTTCTCTTCTCCAGGCGGAACAGGCCCAGCTCCCCCAGCCTCTCCTCATAGGGCAGATGTTCCAGGCCCCTGAGCATCCTGGTAGCCCTGCGCTGGACTCTCTCCATCAGCTCCACATCCCTCTTGTACTGTGGAGACCAGAACTGGACACAATACTTGTTCTGAACTTGGCTACAGCCATGCTATATGCTATATGCAGGAAATACACACACCTAGGCACACTTCAGACAACTCAAAGGTCTCCTTTGAACACCAAGGATTTCAGAAATATTTAGATAATCCAGGGAATCACTACCCAACCAGCTGGGCTTGCCCCCTGGTCATTCTCTGATTCTGCATGGCACAACTTTTAACACTCAATGACATTATACAATTTTGGGAGCAACTTGGCAGCCGGATAGCTGTCGGCTGATACGGGTCTGCCCATCTCTCACAAACCACCAATACCATCCGTAGCATGTGGACAAAGTTGCTCAAAAATAGAAGCTGTGCTGTGGTGGTGACACCCTGCACACTGGGTAACTTAGAGCGAGCGGGTCTGGCAGTGGCCGAAGCGGCTCCGCAGCACGCAGAGCCCCTCAGCACGGCCAGAGCAGCCAGCACGGTGGCTGGAGAAGAAAAACCCCCACGAGCTCTTCTTTGCAATGGGAAGAGGAAGGTCTACACCCAAACCATGTCACTGATGTGGAGGTGGCCTTGTATCTACCAACTAGCACCCCAGCTCCCCTGACAGGGTCAAGCGTGACGGGAAGCAGAAAGAACCGAGGGTTACAGTGGCTGCCAACCGGGACAATATATATATAGTCTATATACGCTATATGCATAAATATAAAGCCCTGCTTATTCTCCCTCCAGGTGCATCTCGGTTTCACCTTTCTGTTCTTACCGACTCCGATGTCTTGCCTCGTCCCTGGGTTTTCCTACTGCTATAACTAAAGCCCCCAGCACGGAGCCTCCGGCCGCCGCCGGGAACGGGAATTTGCAAGGACAGGGATCAGCTCAGATCGTGTCTCCGTCCGGGGCTCTGCAGGATGCAGTGACACCCCGGGGCTCTGCGGCATCCCCGGGGGTAGAAAGCGCCGCTCGAGCCCTGGGGTGGCCGCCCGGCATGGGAGGGTCTCTCCTCTCCGTCCTGCTGTTTTATGCGGTGGATCACAAGGCCCGGAGGGCTTGCTGGGCTGAAACGCCAAGTGCTGAGGGCTCCATGGCACACGGGGGACACGGGCAGAGCACTGCGGAGCACGGCCCGGCACCTGCGTCCTCCGCGCGCTGCAAAGCGCCAACGCGCGCCCGGGGACACACGCGGCCCGCGCGGCTCAAGGGCTTAGTGCCATTCCGGTCCCGGAGGTGCACGGCCGACGGCACCGCCGAGCAGGGATTAGCTCCCCGCGTGCGGGATTCATTTCCTAATTTCTTTTTTGCTTTTTTTTAAAAAAAAACAAGCAGCACAGCTTGGCAAGCAGGCGCAGGGCCGGCGGCACGAGCGCAGCGAGCTGCTCGCTCCAAAACAGGAGCAGAGAGCACGAGGAGCAGCGCTAATGGCACCAACCCCTCCTCTCCGGCGATGCTGCTTGTTAGCACAGAGCAGAGCCGGCCTAAAGCCGGGATTGCACAGGAGCTTAGAGGGGCTCGATGGCTGAATCCCTTTGAGCAGCAGCGGGAATTCAGTACTTAGCATCTGTGGCCGCCTTTGAAGATCCCGACGGCAGCTTGGCCGCTGCTGCGTGGAGAGCGGCGCAGGGTTTTCCTAAAACTAACGCCCGTCTGCCCCGAGACGCTTCGTTGCGCGCGATGGCGGGCGCAGAGCCTGGTCCCCGCGGAGCGTCTCGCTGCTTCGGCTCTCACTCACCGTGTTGAAGTTGGGGAAGAGGTTGAGCGGCGACGTCCCGTTGAGCCGGAAGGTCAGGAAGTGCTTGATGTCCAGCGGGGTGTGCAGGGGACGGCCCGGGATGGGCAGCGAGGCCAGGAGGGGGCTGCTGTGCCCGGCGGGACCTGCGCGACGGAGAGCAGAGCTTGAGGCGGCCGCTTGCCCAAACACCCGCTCTGGGCTCAAACCCACCGACCAAGCGCAACACCCGCACCCAGGCACCACTCGGGAAGGGCTCTGCGGTGCCCCCGGCTCCCGTGGGCGCTGCCCGTCCCCCCCCGCGCTGCTATTT